AGCAGGAAGCCTTGAGTGCCTTCACTGCAGAAGCACTGAGGTGGAGGGAGATACCCTGTGCTTTCCTCTTCACCTGCACTAGTGTGGACATAATTTGGACCTTTATTTTGAAAAACTTACCGAGGGCCTCAGGAATTACTGTTGAAGTCTAATCCCAGACTTTTCAAACTATTTCCTCCTCCTCACTTCCTGTCTATCATGTCAATATTCAGTTCCATGGGCAAAAACATATTCCAGTGAATACCCAGACATTTTAGGCCATCAGGCAACCATGCCAATCAACACTGCAAAATACATGTCCTTTTTCCTTGAGAAAGAAGACTCATGTCACCCTTTGACTCACTTCAAAAGGTTGATTGTTAGGAGAAACTGATTCCTGCTCTGGAGTGGTTTGTGATCTGCTGTATGAGAGAAACAATGCACAAAGAAATTGGAGTGTCTATATGTATTGTTTTTAGCTGGAGTTTGATTCATTTAAGTAAGTGAATATCAGAATACATAAGACAATACAGTGAAACCTATCTCAAGTGACAACCCAAGGGGGAGAGTGTAATTGGTGGCCTAGTACAGATGGCCTATGTGGTAGTGTGCTGCTAAGAAAGCCCTTTATCTGCTCCTGCCACCCCAGCCCCAATCAGGGGGAATGGATTGGGGCTGGGTAAATAACCAGTGCTTGCCTGGGAACTGCCTGCACCTGCCAGCCTCATTAGCAGGAGCTAAAAGGCTGGGGGGCAGAAACCAGGATGGAAAGGTCAGGCTCAGAGGGAAGAAAGAGCCTACTAGTCTGTTGCTGGTCAGGCATGTATGAGGCCAAGCCGTGTAAATAGCCTGTAAATAGTGGGGAAAGGGTGGCGTGAATGGACACAAACTGAAGAGCACGTGTGTTGCATCAGCTTGGACCGACCCTGAGTCTTTAAGGAACAGGGCCAAGGGGCCGAATCTAACGGGGCGTGGTGTGCACCCCGTTACTCCTATAACAAAAAGTTGAACAAAATGGTACTGGAAATCTCATGGGGATACTTTAAATAAGTTGCTTAAGATGGGTAGATAAGCTGCTGCTGGTGCTTCTTAGTGCATGTTTCACTGTTAATAAAGGGCATGACATAGGAATGCCAGAAGAGATCATCAAGCATAATATGCTGTTCCTGATGCTTTTAGAGGAATGCAAACAACAATCTTCATAATGAAACTGACCAGTTGCTTTAAGCAGAAGAAAGTCCTTTCCTGCCGTCTGCTCATCAAGAAATTAAAGTAGGAAGCATTCTCTGTAGCTTGTGAAGTAGATTACACATAATGGTCTGATTGCCTCTGATGTGGGACAAGTATTTAATACCGATGCATACCTTGTTAAAAATTGCATGTAGTTGTGATGACAAAAATATAGGTACTTCTGCATAAAATTTAAATGAAGGGGATTTTGTTTTCTTTGCATTTAGCCACTAGAATTCGAATATTCAGCAAATAATGAATTGGCTAGGATTTCACTCATTTTAATTTGTAGAGAGAAAGTTGAACAAAACCCCCAAATCTAAACAATTTTGGAAATTTCAAAATCCAAGTATTAATATTGTAGCATAAATCCATGGTGGTCTGATTTTGTGACTCTTGCTCATGATAATCCATATTTACCAGTGAAGATAATGGGAGTACTTGTGAGAGAAAATGCGACTCAGTATGAGTGAGGCTTGCAGAATCAGATCCTTTGAGTGTAGACTCATAAAATCAAATATGTTCTCCCTTATTATAGAAGGCAATCTTAGGCCAATGCCCTGCACAAAGTGCTGTGAATGGGTTCTTAACTAGCTCTGCTTTACCCCAAAGGTGAGGAGTTTGTTTTCCTTACCACTGCCGATGGTCCACACAGTGAATATCCCAAGAACAGTGTGAAAGAAAAAGTATCTTAAATTAAACAAGGTTAATCTGCAAATTGAGAAGGTCAGATTACAGCAAAACTAAAAGGAATTAAATCATATCTTGCTGATGACTGGGTAACCGTTCGGTTGGCAAGGTTATGATCTTTTCATTAAAACAGACTCAACCCCCGAAGAATAACCATTGTACTAGAGCTGGTTGGAAAATGAGTCTTTTCCCCATAGAAATTTAATTTTGATTTCTCGGAAATTTTTTAAAAACATTTTCAGCCAAAACTGTTGATAAAAAATGAAAATTTCTATCCAGAAATGCTGCTGCGGTGCCACATGGAAGTTGCATGTTGGGTTCTTGATGCCTCCATTCTCCTCTGTGGGCTGGATTTCCTGTCTGGATTACTTCTCCCATAATGCAACACAGTTTCCCCTCTTGCTGAGTACTGCAAATCATCATGGAAGATGTAATTTGGAACCCTTCCCACAGAGAAGAATGGGAGCAGAAGACACTTTTGAAAAATTTAGGGGTACTCAGTGGTGAATGTTGATCTGTACACCAAAATGTACTTTCTGAACAATGGAACAACCATCACTGAAAGGCAAACAAAGACCAGATTGGGTCCCAAAAGAATGTAAGATGGATTCGTTCTTTTCCTGTAACTAAAGAGGGAAGCCTGTCTAACTCAGTTGGCAGTGAAGCATGTGATTAAACAGCCTACACACATTTTTAGACTTATCTAAAATAATTTTATCTCATGGTTATTCCTTTTGCTAATAAACCTACATATTTGAGAAGTCTGTTGGTCATTATTTCACTGTCCTAGGGTTCCCGAAAGGTACGAAACTCAGTTGTCAGTTGGACCTGCACAATAATTAGCAGGTGGCATAGATGGAGGGTTGTATCCAGATCCTGGACTAACAGTGGGAGAACTGTGAAATTTCCCCCCCCCAGACAGGCAAGGGCACAAGGCCGAGCATCTGATGGGGGGCACTCAGAGACTACCAAGGGGAAAGATGTGCAACCAGTAACAACCTGTAACCATGACACACCCAAAATATAACTCTCGTGAGGCACTGTAATGGCATTTCCAAATAGACATTTTTGTTTTTCGGATGATTTTTATTTTTAATTTTTAAGTGTTTGGGGTTTCAGTTAAAAATCAAAATGTTTCATAGAGAGACAAGGTGGTGAGGTAATATCTTTTACTGTACCAACTTTTGTTGGGAAATAGGCAAAGTTTTGAGCTACACAGAACTCGACAGGTCTGCCAGACCTACGAGACCTGAAGAAGAGCTCTCTCTGTACTTTGAAAGCTTATCCAGTAGAAGATATTACGGCACCCACCTTGTCTCTCTAATATCCTGGAACCAACACAGCTACAACAATACCGAAAACAACATTTTTCATAGAATGCAGATGCTTTTCACTTTTTTAAATCTATTTTCCATTGAAAAAGTTCAGTGGTAAATGTTTTAACCAGCCCTCATTTGTATATTCTATGCATCAACTACTTAGGCTTTCAGGGTTTCCACATCACTTTTTGCAGGTTAACGGAGTCCATCATTCCCCTTACTCTCTGTAGCCACCCTTCTCAGCACTGGATTTTGTTGGTCAGGGAATTAGTTCAGCTACTCTAAGTTCTCTGTGAAGATTAGGTATGACTTGCCTGCAATAACATCCTATCCACAAAGTAAACTATTGTATTAATATAGAGAATCTGTTTACTCCAACTTTCTTTCATACACTAACTTTTTTGCCTCCATCCTCAGCATCCCTGTGGATTTGTTGGTACCAGAGTGCATTCTCCCCTTCTATGCACCACAGCAATGATGCATCTTCATAGGAACTTCTTTACAGCATGTCCTTGTCAACTTCCCACTCTCACGGCTGCTGTCACTGGTACCATCTGGCATATAATTAAACTAGTCTCTCTCCCTCATTGGCATAGCTCCAGGCTCCCCCATTACTGTGAGTGTGGCTTCAAGCTCCTTCCTTTTTATTTTTGTAGTTTCATGTTTACTTTAATTTTCCAAGTGAATTTTGGCACTTGTGGGTACTGGATTGGCAGCCTTTTTATTTTTTGTTTGTTTTGCTTTGTTAAAAAAATAATAATAAAAAAGGAGATATACCTCTCTCATAGAACTGGAAGGGACCCTGAAAGGTCAGTGTGTCCAGCCCCCTGCCTTCACTAGCAGGATCAAATACTGATTTTGCCCCAGGACCCTAAATGGCCCCCACAACGATTGAACTCCCAACCCTGGGCTTAGCAGGCCAATGCTCAAACCACTGAGCTATCTCCCCTGTTTTATTCTTGGATTAAGCACAGCACAGGCAGTTGTAAGGATGGGTTACAACATGCTGCCCAACAAACGTGCTTTAACCCTTCCCTGGCAGGAAATTACTTCTGGGACAGAAAGGGTAGTTCGATCTGCAAGCTCATTCAATCCTTGACTTGTCAGACAAGATTGTCAAGTAGTGGTTTTTGTGGTGACTCATGTTGTGTTCCAACTGACCTGAGATGACAAACTAATGTCACATAGGTCACCAAATGGAACAGCTCTTAAGAGTTTTATCCTTCCTCACTTGGGGTTTTATTAGTTCTGCCTGTCACCGTAGTATCTGAACACATAACTACATTACATGCTCTAAGTCACTACTGATTAGAGCCAGATCTAATGCAACATCATATAAAACAAAGACGCTATAAATGTCCTTTATCTGTTCTGGCTCCCTACTTTTTGCGTACTGAGTTCACAACAGAGTGTGTGTGGCTGAATAAGTTGTTCGCCTCTTAGTAAAGGGCTGTATGACATTAGTCTAATGTTTGGGTGGACAAAGGGATGAGTGGAAGTGGGTATTGATTTTATAGGAAATAAAGGATAATTTCATACCTGTAGCAAATGGTATCCTGTAGATCCACTCCCTTTTGCCCCCATTTTTATATACCCTTTCAAAACAATTTGTTGTTGTTCTATTCTTCTCACATGGAAACACCAGTTTTTCCTTGATCTAGCCCCACAAGTATGTAGTGTTTTTATCCTTTTAAGATATTTGAAATGCTATTTGCTATTGATCTCATACGTGGAAATGGAGGATAAAAGTTCTGTTGCCAAGAAACGACTTGAGCACATAAGTTGTATGAGATGTAGGTTTAATCACTAATTGGATAGTGACCACCTGTCAGCATTACTGTGGCAGGCAGGGTGTTATGTTGCAGAGTGAAACATCCCAGTGGTTTTCACAGTAGTGAGAAGAAATTAAAGATGTTATAAGTTTCGTTAAAGAGATGGCAGTTCAAATATTTCCACACTGTTTCCTCACAGTCACATCTGTAAAATGTTGGCAAAATAAGCTAAAGGTATTTGCTCTTGATGGAGCTTCAATTCAGTATAGTAGTGTACTAAACAATATCAGTAATATAAAAACTTATAACTGTAGGAAAAACAACATTTAATTAATGCTTTGAGATATACCAAGTATCCAAAATAGTGCACTATTTTTTTCTTCCATCCTTCAGGCAGAGTAGATGAGCTGTCCATTGCTAAATGAATCAGCCAATATTTCTCCAAACATAGCCAGTGCTCTTGATAGATTCAGAAGCCCAATATGGGCCTAACCTGAAGATCACTATTGATTTCAGTGGGCTTTGGATGAGGCCCTAAGATAGTCTTGGTGTATTGCAGGATTGAGACATTTGTTTCTTTTTATGAACTGATGAACCCAGATCTTCAAAGGCATTTAGACACCTAACCCCGATCTGAGCCTGAATCACTAATTGGGTAAAAATAGGTTTAAATTACAGGAGGGAAAATTCAAATATCTTTGGAACATCCTTCCCCACAAGGATGGTCAAAAATCTCTGACTCTACAAAGTTCAATAATTCCTACTGTGCAATATCTCACAGGAAAGAAAAACCTGCTTTACTGTCAACTTGTGTAAAATATAAAAGCATTTGTTCCTGCCCACAACAGGGAATAGGTTGCTGTTGGCACGATGGTTTGAGGATTTGTGTACACAGATGCAGCAGTTCAGTTTGTCATAAAACATTTCAATTCCTAAACATGGTGCAAGGGGGAATGGAAGTGGATTCTGCTTATGATTAATAAAAATTGGATGAATTAAGACTCTGATTTCAAGTACATTGGGAAGACATTTTGAGAGGACTGCCTGTGCTTTGTGTTAGACAGGGCTATGAAGAACTGGAAAGACAACTGAAAGAAGTCTTTAAGGAAAGGAGCAATATCCTCCGTCAACTGTCGAAGACCTCAAAAGAACTTGAAGGAATTAAAGTAAACCTGCAGGTTAGATTACCCTTCACTTTTCTGAGATATACGATCACTCACTTTGTTTATTAGAATTAGTATCTATTTGTTACACACATTTTCTTTTAACATGAGACTAATTGGTAATTAATTATGCTTGTTTTATATGTTGCATATGTTAGTTTTCAATATTATTTAATCTGAGGAAAACATGGTGCGCCTTACACATGAGTGGATTATGCAGTTTATGAATCCCCAAAATTTTCCTTGGATGCTTTGTCTCACTTGTGGAAATTGAAGCAGTTAATGGAGAAACCACTAGGGAGCAGAATACATTGACAATGAGAGGAAAAAGATATTTTTTATAGATTGACTCCCTGGAGCTACCCCTTACTTCCATTAGTGAACAGTTACTCACAAAAATAGTCCTATGTTGGCTAGGGAATGTGATATTTTCAGATTTCTAGCCAACTTAACTATGGCAGCAAACTTTGTAACATAGCGTAAGCTTTAGTCTAGCTAAAGTGAGATTGGCCACACTGAAATAACACTACAGAATATTAAATAACTCTGCAGCCTATATCCTCTGATGAGCCAGCCAACTGGAGTTAACTGGAGCATGATGTCAAGTATCAGAGGGGTAGCGTTAGTCTGGATCTGTAAAAAGCGACAGAGTCTTATGGCACCTTATAGACTGACAGACGTATTGGAGCATAAGCTTTCGTGGGTGAATACCCACTTCGTCAGATGCATGTCTTGGAGCATGATGGTTGGTTTAACAGTTTTGGTGAGAGGTCAGGACTCAAGTTAAGGGCATACTTGAGTTATAACTCAACTCTATAGTGAAGACAAACCCTCCAGGTGAATAAGGGGTTTCCAGTCTTGCCCTGGATTTGTTGGCAACCTCAATGACCAAATATTCACACGACAGGGCAGCAGTCTCTTCATGAGGGAGTCTCTTGGCCTAGTGAAAACAATGAGAATAATTCAGACTGGTTACCAGCTAGATTGCTTATTCTGACACTTGCACTGCCTTGCAGAGAACTGCATTTTATTTGAACCACCTGTTATGAATGGGGCATATATAACTTCTAACAAGACCACCCCTTGCATTGACTAGTTGAGGGAGCAATTCTGGGAAATTATCTCCTCAAACAACTCATAGAACCATGCTGTTATCTTTGAGGGGATGTATGGCTCCCTGTATTCCATTCATTGATGCTGCTACCTTTCTGAGCAGTAGTCTGTCGTACATTTTAAAATGTCAGTCTGCATTATCCTGTCATCTTCTACTGCAATTTTTTTCTTGTTGAATTTTTTTCTTCACAGTTTATATGGGGAACTTGTCTTTTCCCTTTTTTTTTTTTTTTAGTAATAAAGTTACTTTAGAACTTGCTATATTCTCATCAAACTGAATGGATAAAAAAGTAGGACTCAGGAAAAAATATTTTTTCATGTACTTTGAATTTGATGCTGGAGGGACCGGATCTATGCAAAGAACTGTACTACATACTCTATTAGATCAGTTCTGCTTTAATGTCTCATCCTGAACACCTGTGTGTGCTGCAGCAAGTGCTGAATTACTGCCACAGAAGAGCCAAACTATTTCTGCCCTATTTTTTTAACTGATGATAAAATGTATTTTTCAATGGGAGCCTTTTGTAAAAGAGGTCACCATCAACTTTTTTCATAGTTGAGTAACATTAAAGATTTTCTTGGTAATTCTCCCTCTCCCCTTTGTTTCCAGTCTTTGAAAAATGATGAGGCATCTGCCAAAAGTGATGTGCAGAAACTTCTGGAATTAGGCCAAAAGCAAAGGTAAGACGCTAACTTCTCCTTTCATTCCTGTTAACAGACTGAAAACTATAAGACCATGGAATTCAGTCTTTCCTTTGTGTGAACCACCAAGCACAGCACAGTAGGCATGTCCACTAGCAATCAGCCATGACTGTTAAACAGGGGGAGGGAGGAACAATGCAGGATTGTTTCTGCGATACCTGAAATACTAGCTGATGTGACACACTTTACTTCATAGTTGGTCATTAATAACATTCATAAGGGTTAACATTAGAACTAGATATACATCAAGGAAATTGGGTTTGGTTTTGCAGGATACTGGGAACTTATTTATTCAAGTCAACACATTTCTGTGCTTAATTTTTGGAAAGTGCTTAGTGAATTGAGTGCCTCATTGAGGCACCATAAATGGGCCTGATTTTCAGAGGGTGCAGTGATCAGCAGGTTTGAAAAATCGTTAAAGTGTCTCAAATTAGAAACCCAAGAATTGAGGCACCTAAAATAACTAGTTAGTTTTAAAAATTGCTGGCTTTGGAGGTGGGGCATGGGTTCAGATAAAACTCATGAAACCAAGCGCCTAGTTTTGAAAATTCTTACAGGGTAATCTATGACAAGAAGTAAAAGAGAATACATTTGTTGGAGGGGAAATATTCATGTCAAATATTCACTTGAATCTAGTGAATTGGAGTCTTTTCCATGACAAGGGGTGACAGACCAGCATCCTTAGTCCTAGCTCAATAAACAATGATAGAGTTCACATGATTCTTACAAATGGAGTCGATCTGATAAATTGATATGCCAATATAATTTTAACAACAAGCAGACCTAGCCAATATGGGGGTTATTTTCTCTGAAACAGTATGATGTGTTTAATACATGTATGTGTCTCAGTTTTATCACAATAAAAATATACATTACAAATTAATCAGATATGGCCAGTCTAGGTACAGCATATATCCCTTTTGTTGTCATACAAAGTGACACTTGAAATCCTGTAATGATTTTATTGCTAGTATTTTACCCAGTAGTAGTTTTGTAGCATATATTAAAATTAGATGGCTAATAGGGAAGGATTGTGATTAAATGATTTCCCAATCAGCTCTTAAATACCAAAGAAAATTGGGGCCTGTTTCAGTGCCCACAGAAGTCAGTGGGGAGTCTTTCCATTTACTTCAATGGGTGTTGGATCAGACCTTCACATGCCTTAGAAATGCCAAAGACAGATATTTCTGTTAAAGGGGGACATTTTAGACCTGTCTGAACTGTGAAGTAGTGGGGTTTAGTTAGTTAACATTTCTAGAGAACTTTAAATATGCAAATGTCTATATAATTGGACACAATTAAAATATCACCATTTACCACTAGTAACCACCTTGTACAAAATCAAAAACTATTTTTTTATCCTCCAGTTTCTCATGTAGTAAATGTTGGTAAATGTTGCCTTGAAAATCTAATATTAGCTGCTATAATTGCTAAATATTCTTATATCAACAATTCTTAACCATGATGATATTAGACAGTGATCAACACATCTTGGAACTTTTAATAGGAGAAAAGTAATGTGTTCTTTGTAATAAATTAAAAATTATATAATATTATTAAAACATAATGAGATGATAAAATGATGATGCAAGTTGAGAGTATCATTATTCAGTGGTTCAAATTTGCAAATGGTCTCTGAAACATGCACCTAAAACTGGCTTTTGTATGTTACCATTGCTGATGTCTGATTTATGTCCATTTATTCTTTTATGTAGAGACTGTCCAGTTTGGACAATGTACATGGCAGAGGGGCATTGCTGGCATATGATGGCACATTCACCTGCACATCTACTAATGTGATATTCGCCATCATGTGCCAGCAATGCCCCTCTGCCATGTGTCAGTATATTTATGCCTGCATCTGTAATTTTCACTCCATGCATCTGAAGAAGTGGGTTTTTTACCCATGAAAGCTTATGCCCAAATAAATCTGTTAGTCTTTAAAGTGTTACTGGACTCCTCATTGTTTTTGAGAATCTCAGTTGATACAAGATGAGGTAGCACCATTGACTTCAAGTCAATGGTGCTGTGCAGATTTACACCATCTGAGGAGCTGACCCTAGTGTTCATTCTTCAGAAGTCCAACTTTAATCCCTTCTCTTCTGAGCTCTGTTGTAGTTTTTATGCTGCAGTAGAACATGGTTGCCTCCCATAGTGGTTCAAGTTCTGTCACTTCAATGTATTGTTAACACTTCAAAATGACACAAACTTTGTCTATATTAGACAAAATTGGAAGTGCTGCTGCTGTTGGCTCTCTAGCTTCACCAGCTGTTTCAAGCACTATTTCAGTTAAATCTGCACTACCCAGAACTCCCGAGGTTGCTAGCACTGGTGTAGATGAGGACTAATATGGTAGATGAGCCAGCAACTCGGGTTACTTCGTGCCCCATCATGTACAAAGCTGATTCTACTAGGGTTACCATATTTCAACAATCAAAAAAGAGGACGGGAGGAGCCCCGCCCTAGCCCTGCCCCTGTCCTGCCCTAGCCCCGCCCCTGCCCCTTCCACTCCCTCCCACTTCCTGCCCCCTCAGAACCCCCAACCCTCCCCCCCATGCCTTGTCCCCTGACTGCTCTCTCCTGAGCCGCCC